GACGACAAGAAGCCACTGTTGACAAATACAGGTGACCGGTCAGCTTTTAAGAAACACAACTGTTTTTTCAGCTTCTTGTTTGAAGCAGGAGTGAGGGGGTGGTGGATATTTTTGCTTCAGTCCAGCATCGTAGAGAGACGGTAAAGGTAAAGGTTCCCCTTGACAATTTTTGTCCAGTCATGTTCGACTCTAGGGGGCAGTGCTCATCCCCGTTTCCAAGCCATAGAGCCAGCGTTTTGTCCGAAGACAATCGTCCATGGTCACATGGCCAGTGCAACGTAGACACGGAATGCTGTTACCTTCCCACCGAGGTGGTCCCTATTTATCTACTTGCATTTGCATGCTTTTGAACCGCTAGGTTGGCGGGAGCTGGGACAAGCGACGGGCACTCACTCCGTCCCGTGGATTCGATCTTACGATGGCTGGTCTTCTGACCCTGCAGCACAGAGGCTTCTGCAGTTTAGCCCACAGCGCCACCACGTCCCCTTTAGAGAGACGACAAAGGGTCAAATAAAGTCACCTCACAACCTTTGGGGCAGCCGAAGATGCAGCCTGTGGAAAGGCCAATGATTTACTTGTCTTCGCCATGTTTCTTTATATCATCTTGCTACGGAATCACAATGCTCAGGGATGGTTTATTTGGTCTAAATTTAGTTCTTCACATATCACCTCTCAAAACTCTCCCGTCTTGTTTCCGGGCGGAGAAACTAGAGGGGAAAGAACCATTTCGACTAATTTCCCCACAAGAAGCTCTTTGCTTGTTTCTTAAGCCCTGGAACTCACTCATGGAGGCAGATGCAGCAGTTGTCGCTGTCATTCCTGTGGTGGTGGTTGTGATTCCCTCATCAAGTTGCCTCTGACCCATGGTAACCCTATAGATGAGGGACCTCCAAATTTTCCTCTTAAGAACACTGTCCCACTCTTACAACCTCAAGACTATGGCTTCCTTCATTGACTCTGTCCATCTCACATTCGGTATTCCTCTTATCCTGCTGCTTCAAACCTTTCCTCTTACAGGAGACTTGTTTTCTCATGCTGTGCCCAAAGTACTTCAGCCTCAGCTTTGTCATTTTTCTTTCTAACAAGAGTTTGGGTTTGATTTGACCTCGGACCCGCTTGTCTGGCTTCCCGGCAGTCCAGGGGATCCATAAAGCTCTTTTCCAGCAGATTTTGAACGAATCGAGTTTTCACCCCTGCTGAGTTTCATCACTGCGAACAGGTATGAGCCTGTCAGGGAAACCAATGCCATCAGCCGGCCATCATCCTCTGTTACTAATCTGGACTTCTAGCAGGGCCATCCAAGATGGAATGATCAAAGCTGAGACACCAGATTTGGGATTAATGGCCACATCATCACCATAACTTCGTTGTCAGGGTTTTTAAAAGCAGATTTTCCAACTGAAACATCTGCCCCATCAGATCCCTCTCATCCCCAAGAAGGCAAACAGAAGTTCTTCTGGCTGAATGGTTGCTTTAGTGTCTGCTAAGCGCAGCTGCATCTTCTACTCCCGCCTTCTCCAGTTGCCAACATGGCGGCCCATCAAGCCCGCCAACAAGACGGTGGCTTGAACTGGTCCATTTTACACCACAGTGAGGTGGGCCTGCAAGTTTTCTGTGCTGAAGACAGCAAAGAAAATGAGCTTCTGGCCAAGAAGAAGTGGTTTAGTATAGTTCAGGAGGTTTGATTCATGTATGGAAACATGGCATCTCCTAATTCTTATGTAAATTGACTTACCTGGCACTGCCTCTTATTTAAGTTCTTCCTGCTTCTTGGGAGGAAAGCGATGACAGATCTAGACAGCATCTTAAAAAGCAGAGACATCACCTTGCTAACTAAAGTCCACATAGTCAAAGCTATGGTTTTTCTAGTAGCGATGTATGGAAGTGAGAGCTGGACCATAAAGAAAGCTGACAACCGAAGAATTGATGCTTTTGATTTCTGGTGCTGGAGTAGGCTCTTGAGAGTCCCCTGGACTGCAAGGAGAACAAACCTATCCGTTCTGAAGGAAATCAACCCTGAGTGCTCACTGGAAGGACAGATCCTGAAGCTCAGGCTCCAATACTTTGGCCATCTCATGAGAAGATAAGACTCCCTGGAAAAGCCCCTGATGTTGGGAAAGTGTGAAGGCAAGAGGAGAAGGGGATGACAGAGGATGAGATGGTTGGACAGTGTCATCGAAGCTACCAACATGGATTTGATCAAACTCCAGGAGGAAATGGAAGTCAGGAGGGCCTGGTGTGCTCTGGTCCATGGAGTCATGAAGAGCTGGACATGACTTAATGACTAAAGAACAACAAAAACTGATACTCAGCACCTATCTATTCTCTCTCTCTCTCTCTCTCTCTCTCTCTGTCCAGTCACCCAATATTTGGCTGCACTTGCTTTCCCCAACTGCACATTTATCTCCAACCGTACACTAAAAAATACCCTGCCTTTTCCCTAGCAAAACTCCAGAAAGTGTGGGTAAGGAATATAAAGCAACATTCTCTTGTCATGCAAACCGCAATTTGCCGGTGTTTTGCAAGTTAACAAAAGGCCCCTGCTCCTTCCATCACGTCTTGCATACGTGCCGTTGTCTGAATTTGCTCTCCTCTCTCCAGTTCCCAACAGCTATTTCTTTCCCATAATAGACACCTTGAGCCCAAGACAGCTTCTGCCTTGTGAGATATTAGACTGTTGTAGATGAGGTGGAAATTAAACTGCAGGAGAAAGTAGACCTTGGACATAGAAATTAGGGTGCCAACCTTGGGCTGATTCATTGGTTAACCATCTAGTGCGACCGAAGTGACTTTAAAAAAAATCACCTGTTAATTTTGGAAACAAAAGTTTTCTTGTGCTCTGGGGATAGGGGATAATTTTGCCATGTTCTGAGAGGCTCACACCACTACAATGCAGAAGTACAAAGGTTCAGAAAAGAGAACAGCTTCAAGGACTTCAGGTAGTACTCACCTTTGTCATTAACTGGCACTTAAGGTCCCACTCTGAGACATTTGTGGGGAAAGAAGAAAAATATTTCATTACTTACGGTTGTGAACAGATCAACAGCCAACATTGACCTAAAGAGAGGGAAAGGAACACTCAACAGAGAGGCGGGGCTCCCTCTTAATTCAAAGGTAGGAAGGAATGATTGGTTAGTGCTGGATAGATTGACAGTCACCCCAGCCCAGAAAGCTCCCTCCCAGTCAGTCAAACCGTAGGCAGCATGTGAGGTTGTGAAATCCCAACAGGAATGCTCTCATGGATGCAGCTGTGGCCCTACGGATGTATTTATACAATATAATCTGACACCTCTGGGTGGTGATCCTTTCTTATCGTGTTTTTGAAGACCTGACTTTTCTGAGGCCTACGGTGGATCCAAGAGGGATAGATCAGAGATACATTGTTTTGTTCACTTTGTGACACAACTGCCTATTTGTCTGGAAACAAATGGAATGGAAATTTCTCGCCAGGAGAATTCCCCGAGCATACTTAAAACACAGCCGCTTGGCTGCATCCGTAATTGAGCTCCGCTTCAAAGTAGCTTTAGTATAGCAACCTTATTTCTTCCTCATCATCAAAATGACCAACATAATGTTTATTTTATAAGAAAGAATTGCTAAGCAGGAAGGGGAGGAACAGCAAGGTAACCAAGCTCCAGAAGATAACATTCCTCTCTTGGAGATTAGAACTCTAATAGCAACCTCATTGTTTATGGGATTTGAATTCCGTAGCAGTTGCTACCTCATTACTCTGTTAGATCCTTCATGTGGGTGCACGCACACGCACACACAAACACACACACTTATCTTTCCTCCCACCACACACACGCACCTCCCCACATCTTTATTTTCTCACATCTATGCATTCTAATCTTAAATCTATGGAGAAAATATGAATAGGCTTAAACTAAATTTTAATTAGTGTATAGTTTGATTTTTTTTTTAAAAAAATGTTTAGCTTATGTTTTAAATTCTATACTTTTTAAAATTGTCATGCACCTCGGGTCCCTTACTGGGAGAAAGGCACCATAGAAATAAAAGTAGACATAGGGATGAATAAAAAAAATCATCACGAAATTCGTAAGAAATTGCTGATTTCTCGAATATTCATCCCTTCCTATTCATCAATTCCAGAGGGACAAACATTTACCCATTTTTATTCATCCCCTAGGTAGAGAGGGAAGAGCGGGCTGCCAGAATGGCGACCTCCATTCGGGAAGCCTAGACTTCCCTCTCTCTGTCTATGGCCTTCCCTCTCTGCTTATGGGCCAGCCAAACAGCTGATCGGTGGGCCCAGAGGTGGAGGCAGACAAGGTAAGGAGGCAACAGGGGCAGTGGAAAGTGGGGGCTGTCTGCAGGGCAAGGGCTCAGCTTTTCTTTCTTTTTTTCTTTCTTTTAGACACCCATGGGCTGTCTTAAAAAAAGAGACCCGACGAACCAATTCGTGGTTTGTCGATCAACGAGGGGGATATTCGTGGTTTGTCAATCTTGACGAACCACGAACCACGACGAACTGCCATTTTGGTCGTTCCTTCCCATTTCTAAATAAAACAAACAAAATACAAACAATTAAATAACAAAACCTGGCAAAACATGCAAGAAGGCAGGAACGTTTTTAGACATGCACATTTCCCCTCTATACTTCTCTGTTGTAACCATTGTGTACCAGGATTTATTTTTTTTAAAAAAAATCACACACACTTCCTCTTCTTCTTTTGCACTTGTTAATTTTTTTTGGATTTTGAAATTTAAAAAAAAAGAAGCAGTGATTTTAGCAAACAAGCCGTTTCCCTGGCAAATTTTTAGGCTCTCACTCCTAATATCCAGGGGTACGCCCAAGTTGCAAACTTGAGTTTTTAAAGGCAGTATAACCCCATCTAACACTGTCTTACCTCTGTCTTACCGCTGACCAGGTGCACCTCTGTCTTGCCAGGATTTTAGCTTCAGGGTTTTTGACCTCATCCAGTCCATGGCAGAGATCAGGCGCCGGTTTTGAGCCAAGACAGCTCCCTTGGAAAGGGCAGCTAGAACTGGCCATCATCTGCATATTGGTGAGAGGGCACCCCAGGTCAAAACTGATATCTGTAGAACCCCCGATTCATTCCAGGGCCATCTCAACTTCATTGGGCATCAGTCTGTTCACGCTCTGTGTAAAACGGCCTGCCTCCATTCCCTGGCGACGTATACTCACCAGATGGTTCATTTTCCAACTGGGAAGTCTGCTCCATAAACCAACAACAGCTTTCCCAGGTGAAAGATTGTGTTTACTGTTTGGTGACATAATGAGGCTGAATTATGTGCAAACAGCCAACCACTGAAGGGCTTGGGTAGTTGCAGGGAGAAGGTGGGATGCATGTGCTTATTTATTTAGGTCTATGATGTGCCTTGTGGCTGGCTGGATGGCTCAGTGGTTTAGGCATCTGGTTGCAGAGCCAGAAACTGGGAGTTTGATCCCCCCACTGTGGCTCTCGGGAGAAAAGCCAACCGGTGTAGCCTTGGGCCAGCTGGACAGTCCCAGGGCACCTCCAGAAGAAGGGAAGGCTAAACCTCTTCTGAATATCCTTGACCTGAAAAACCCTAAAAAGGCTCCCTCTTATTGGGGAACTCTGGGTCTGTGCATGTTGCCCAAGGCTACTCAGGTAGCAAGGCACATCATCCCATCAGCTGCACACCCTCCAAGTGTCCCGGCCAGCCCTTCTGTGAGGAAAGACAGTGTGGATTTGAACTCCAGACCCAAACTCGGTGCTCCAACCCACTGAACTATATCAGTTTTTAAAGAAAGAGGGGAAGCATCATCCAAAAAGAGGCATGTTCGGCAATAAATTTGCACATCTTAATTTAAATTGAAGTACCCGGTATAGGGGATAGAGCGATGGACTAGAGGCTTGGGTTCGAATCCACGTTCAGCTATGGACTGGGAATGAGGAATTGGTAAGGGTAAAGGTAAAGGTAAAGGTTCCCCTTGACACTTTTTGTCCACTCGTGTTCGACTCTAGGGGACGGTGCTCATCCCCGTTTCCAAGCCATAGAGCCAGTGTTTTGTCCGAAGACAATCTTCTGTGGTCACATGGCCAGTGCGACTTAAACGCGGAACGCTTTTCCCTTCCCACCGAGGTGGTCCCTATTTATCTACTCGCATTTGCATGCTTTCGAACCGCTAGGTTGGCGGGAGCTGGGACAAGCGACGGGTGCTCACTCCGTTGCGTGGATTCGATCTTACAACTGCTTGGTCTTCTGACCCTGCAGCACAGGCTTCTGCAGTTTAGCCCGCAGCACCGCCACGTCATAAAGCCACTCCTTAAATATCTCACTTATCTTCAAAGCCCTCTTAGGGATGGTATAAGTTGGCCAGTAACAACAATGATTTCAACTACACTAGACTTCCTCTTTCCAGCCAGGCTGCCACAAGACCATTGAGAAGGACGAAATCTCCATTGAAAGTCCAGACTGAGACCCACCCTAACATCCACCTATATAAAGATGACTTTCTAAGGCCAGGCCCTGCTGTTAAACAGTATCAAGCAATGGCCTTAAGCAGCAGACAAGGTGACAAGAGAGACTACAGCATGTTGTGTGGCCTTCTGCTCCACCCCAAGCTCCCCTGTGCCCTTCAGGTGTGGTGGCCTTCAGCTCACTCCATCTAGCATTGAAGGACATGTCAACCACCAGTCCAGTAAGTTTTTCTAGGTAAAATAATGGCCTCCAGCAGCCATTTGGGTGGTGTTATTTTTTTGGTCCCAGCCCTGCTCCCTGTATAGAGACCTCTGCTCTGATGAATGAAGTATCAATGGAGTTCTGAACCTGTGTCTAGATAATGTCCATCTCAAGATATCTCATGTATGCTAGAGGTGGGGTCCCTTTAGTTCTCCGTTTCCAGAAAACCCTGCTGACACGGCCAGCGGCAAGGGGTTACAAAAATGGTTGCTCAAATCATCTGGAGAACTGAAATCGCCTCCAAAATTAATTGGAGCTGTCAGTGAGTTAGTTGACATAGTTAAATTTAACTGAAAAATTACTACCCATTGGAAATTGCTCAATTTTATTGGAAGGAAGGAAATCTGCCTAGATTGTGTTTCATTTCTTCAAATCCTTCCTAACATCCTGTTCTTTCTATCAGGTTGCAAAAAAATGTTTTTCTTCCCAGTTGAAAATGTATGCGCATTTTCCTAAGCATGGACATTGATCGATGCACTTTCACGAAGGCCTCCAAATTTCCTCTCACCTGACTGGAGCCAGTTTGTGCTTCTTTTTCAGCGGCACACCTTTTAGCTCCCTGCATTTTGAAAGAGTATGACTGATTTCGTCCCTGAATTTAGTCCTCTCTGAGACACACAGAAACCTCCCAATGATGCGCACCTCGGTCAGGCAAGGTCCTAAACCCCACCTACAGGACGTCAAAAGGTGCAAAACTGAAAATTTTGGCAAAGAGCTCAAACCACTTAAATTATCTCCCATTATAATAATCTTATACATAATCTTGGAACGGCAGAGTTATTGAGTCCAGTCCCTGTCAAGGAGGCCCAATGCGGGATTCGAACTCCCCACCTCTGGCTCCACAGCCAGAGACCTGAACCACTGAGCTGTACAGGAGTTTGTGCCACTGATCTTAATTTGGAAAGTGTGCAGAGACGGAGTTTCTTTCCCCCCCTCCTGGCTACAATTTCCCAAATCTCCCACCAGTAGGCCTGCTGGTCATGCTAGACCTTTGTGGATAGTGGAGGGATTTGGGTCATTGCACTCCAAAATTGTAACTTCCTGTATCTCCCCTTATAATTCCACCCCACCACCTCTTCTCTGAGATCTTCAAAGGATGGTCTGTCCATCTGTCTCACCACCATCACAGGCCCATTTGAGGAGGACTCAAGAGAGGACATTTTTGGCGGCTGCTCCCAGTCTACGGAATTCCTTCCCACACGAGACTGCTTGCAGCAACAGGGCTCAACAAACTGCAGACTGCCAACAGGCAACCGTGGGGAGGGAGGAGCAGAGCAGAGAGGCAGGGAAGAATGATTGGCTAGTGCGGTACAGATTGACAGTCAGCCCAGCCCAGGAAGGTCCCTCCCTTTCTGGGTTACTAAAGGCAGCATGCAAGGTTGCCAAAAACTCCCAACGGATTTTGGTCTGTTTTCCATGCACCTGAGAAGGTGTGCATAGAAATAAATCGTGGGGAGATGAAGGCCGTTCTGTAAACCCACCTGCTGTGTGATGTGACACTGACCCAAGCCGACTGAAACAGCTGCCTGGAAATATGCAAGCGATGAGACACGGAGGTAATTTAGGCAAAAGAAACAAAACCGCCCTGGGAAAGCAGGTGGATTAAACCTCACTTTCTTCCGCTCAAACAAATAAGCTCGCGTTTCCCAAAAGGAAGCCCAGTGCTATGGCAATGCAGTGATTTTTTTTTTAAAAAAAAAAGTTAAATCATGGCATAATATGATGGTAATGAGATTCTCGGGGGGGAAAAATCATTATGTCTCTGTCAGGTGGTAATAAAACGGAGTATTTTTCTCCACCCTTGGCTCGCTCGGAAGGTATGCAGTTCTGCCAGTCCTCATTACATCTTGATGGAAACAAAACCCATTAGCAATAGGTGCTGTAGATTTTAATGAGGGAGACATGCCAGAAAGTAATCCGGGTCACTGGTAATGAAACCGTTACACCAAGCTGAAACTGATAAAAATCTAATTATGCCCCATATCAATGGACGGCTTCAGAAATGTTGATCAGCTCCTCCCCCACCACCGCTTCGAGAACGCACCGGGCATTTCCGCTTAAGTGGGTCTCCATAATTAGGAGGTAAAGAAGGTGGACGCGTGTGTGGAATAGAATGAGAGGCAGGGAGGGATGTACTTCAAACCTGCAATAATCTTAATGGGATTGCATCTCTTTGTGGTATATATATATGTGTATGTGTGTGAATGCAAGGACTTTGATCCCCGTCAAAATGCAGAATACGTACACCCATGAGCCAAAGAAAGAACACAAGCTGTAGTTCTCACTGCATCTGATCAAACAGGAAGTCTATTTTGGGGGTCACTACCGTGCTGAGTCTTACACAGTGATGTAGAGATAACAAGTTGAAGTGTGGCGTCTCGCCATACTAAACCCCACCATCACCTCTCCTTCCTCCAGAGTTCAAAACTGCAGGCAATTGGGTTAATCCATGTAAACCAACCCACTTTTCATCTCCAGTGCAGGTCTTTTGTCAGGCCAATGGGTCTTGATTGCCTGCTCAAGACCAAGCCACTTGCCCATCCTCACAAGAGCTGCGTACACAGATTCATTCCCATGCGCTTACAGGCTGGGCTTCGGAGCTTTGAATTTCTCACGTGGAGGTGTGAGGGGCTTCCATGAGTTTGATTCTGTCCATGGCCACCCCTGCAGCCCCCTCCCCTATTTCAGGTGCGATCCTTGAAGAGGGCTCTTGGCTCTGGGGTAGAGCAACAGGCTTCAGGTCTTCAGCCAAAAGGGGTGGGGGTGGGCTGCCAGTCTTGATGGTCTGCAGGTCCTAGGTGGCATCATTAGTGGTGATCGCGGCCAGCGCCTGCGCATCAAGGCCAGCTCCGGGAACGGAAGTCGGCACACTGTCTCTGCACATACACTTGTGTTCCCCCCCTCAGCTTACCTTCGAGGTCTGCTTGCCTCTGTGCATGCACCAGCCTATCAGTTGGACGGCGCATGCGCTGCCCAAGCCTTTGGGTCCAAGTCCCGAGTCCCAAGCCTTGAAGGGACAGGACAAACAATTCAAGACTTGAGGTTTGGAACTCGGGACTCAGACCCAACGACTCCGATTTGAACTTGAGACTCATACCCGAAAACTTGTCAACCTCTCCGGCTCTGATACAGAAACTTCTTTCTTGTTCTGGATAGTTTAGGCCTCTGGCTCCAGAGTCAGAGGCTGGGTGTTCGATTCCCCCCCACACACAAACACACAATGCCTGCTTGACAAGGGCTGGACTGGATGACTCATAAGGTCCCTTCCAGCTCCGCAGTTCTAATATCGTTAGATTGGTCTGAGTCTTTATTTCTTTTTCCGCCCATGTGTGCATGGCATGCTCTCCTTCTTTCATCTTTTTATATATGGATATTTTTGTCTTTCATCTTTTTGTATATGGATATTTTTAAAAAGATCTCCTCTCCTGTCCCAGTAAGACAGGCCCCCCCCCCCCCCATGCACCCCTGTGTAGTAATCGTTCTCTAACTTCGGGTTGCATCCAAACTCTTATTGGAAGAGTCTACAGTGGTGCCCTGCATAATGGGCGCCACGTTTAACAACAAATCTGCATAGTGATGAGTGACAATGTTTTAAATGGTAAAACATCGCTTTGCGATGATCGGTAAGCTGTTTCGCTTACCGATTTTTGCATAGCGATGTTTTTTAAATAGCTGGTCGGCGGTTCCAAAATGGCCACCAGGTAAAAAAAATGGCTGGTGCAACTTGAGTCCAACTGTTTAGGCAGGCCTTCCCCCTTCCAATTAATTCTTAATTATCCTTTCTTTCCTTTTCTGTTACAATATACCCTCTTTCTTGCCATCCTTGGGAAAAAATTATTTCTTTTTATTTATGCAAATTATGTTATGTGGTATGTTATATGTCTAATTGTTTTAGAAATGAATGAATGAATGAATGAATGAATGAATGAATGAATGAATGAATGAATAAATAAATAAATAAATAAATAAATGCTTTGCCTTGTTTTAAACCAATGGATCCCAGTGTTGGGCTCCCAGCTTTTCCTGGACTAAAACTCCCAGAAGCTTTCAATCACTAGCTGTGCTGGCCAAGGTTTCTGGGAGTTGTAGTCCGAGAATATCTGGGCACCCAAGGTTGGGAAGCATTGTTTTAAATTAAAGCTGAATGTTTAGGAGTAATTAAGAGCAATTTTAAGAGCAATTATACGAACACACATTACACTCACAAACTGCTATAATCCCTTTAGGAGACCCTTGACCACCCAAACTTAAGGGGACCATCGTCACGGTAGCTTCCCAAAATCTTCAGAACTCTCTCGGTGGCTTTCAGACTGCAAACAAGAAAAGAAAGATGAAATGATTGTGTGAAGTATTATATACAATACAGCGATCATTAAAATTATATTTGAAACCAGAAAGAAAGCTAAAGCCACCTCCACAGTTTGCATGGTTTTTAAATAACACATCTATCATCTTCCCCGCTCTGTTTTACAGAATAATTGTTCTGCATTTTGAAAACAGCCCCAGGTGGGGAGAGGGCTTTGCTTTTCTAGCTCTTAAAAGCCACTTGCCACGTCCACGTTGACACGGGGGGACCTCAATTAAAAAGTTGTGGCAGCTGGTCGTCCGGGCCCATCAAAGCTTTTCGACGTGTTCTTGACCCGGCTTTCAAAGTGCCTGACGGAGCAACGGTGGCGCTTCCCGAGATCTTGCTGAACGAGCCGATTTGATCCATTAACGCCAACGTCTTACAAATACCATCGAGCAGCACAGGAGAGACAAGAATTAATGTGCCCAAGAAAAGCTAAGCACCTGCCGGAGCCCCTTGTCCTTCCCAGATAACAGACCCAAGCTCTCCTTAATAAAACCGACGGGGCTGGAGCCGATGGAAGCTGGAACGTGTGTGTGTGTGTGTAGACTTCTGATTGATTGATGATGGAGGGGGCTCTGACAGCGACTCGGCAGCCAGGGATAAATATCCTATCTCCCCAAGGAAAGCCGCCATCAAGCATGGCTTGATTCTTCGGGCGCCTTACCCCACCAACTCTATCAAGTTAATGTCACCTCTAAAAATAATAAATGCCGGCCCCGTGACCCCTTTCTCGCTCACTCTCCGCTTCCCCACCACCATCGCCACCAAGAGGTTATGGACTCATTTGCCTGGCAGCTGCTTATGATACCGCAAAGTCTAACCCCGGGTTAAATGGATCATTTTGATGCGAGTTCTGACAAAACTCTCTGTGTGCAAAATATCAGGTTTCATTTGGCTTTCTTACTGAACGGATGAAAAAGGCTGAGAAGGGTACAGCCGTTCGGTCATTCGTTCGTTCGTTCTTGTATTATTTATACTCACCTTTCTCTCCACAGGGGAGCCAAGGCAGCTTATAGCAGCTAAAACCATACAGCTTTATGCCAGCGTTGACCAGTTGGCCAGTGGTTGAGGATAACAGGAGATGGAAGCCAACGGGAGCTGGGAAACATTATTGCAGAGCATTGAGTTGATGGGTAAAATTACAGACTCACAGAGGAGAATGACCTGAAGTTCCCCAGAAAGTCCATGGCTTTCTCATTAACCGGCACTTCAAGTCTTAGTAAGACATTTGTAGGAGAAATAATAATTTCTGACTCCTGTCCTCTGAAGATGCCGGCCACAGAGACTGGCAAAACATTAGGAAGAAAAAACCTTAAGAACACAGCCAAGCAGCCCGGGAAACCCACAACAACCAAAGAATAAAAACATTTCATTACTTACAGTTGTGAACAGATCAACAGCAAACAAAACCGACGGACACTGCTTCTAATGGACTAAAGCAGAGGGGGAAAGCATGCAGCACGGAGGCGGGGCTCTCTTTGAATAAAGAGGTGGGACGGAATGATTGGTTAGTGCTGGATAAATTGACAGTCACGTCAGCCCAGAAAAGTCCCTCCCAGCAAGCCTATTAAGCTGTAAAAACTCTTAGCAAAAGTTACCATAGCTTTAAAGCTGGAAAGGAAATTTTGAATATGCTATAACATACACAGTGGTGCCCCGCTAGACGCTTACCCCGCATGACGTCGAAATCGCTTGATGATGATTCCAATGGGGGAAATCCACTTTACATTGATTAGGAGCCTGTTTTTTCCAGCTCTGCAAAATGGCTTCCCTCCCTCCTCAAAATGGTTGCTATCCGGTTCCGCAAAATGGCTTCCCTCCCTTCTCAAAATGGCTGCTTTCTGGATGGAAGCTTCGCATTACGGCGATTTTTAACAGCTGATTGGCAGTTCCCTATGGGAAATCTTTGCTGGACGATGAGGTATTTCCCCCATTGGAACGCATTCAATGCATTTCAATGGTTTTTTACTTTTGCTTGACGACGATTTCGCTTAACAGCGATTTTGCTGGAACGCATTATCGTCATCAAGCGGGGCACCACTGTATGCCTGACAGCCCAAGAAATACTTATGGCTCTTACATGATATAAGAAGTTACGGCGATCAGAGAAACAGGCAAGGTTTAGACCAGCTGGGTTGGCAGGGGATGTTGTATTCATGGTGCATAAACAGGCAGCTGCAAGAACACATTCCCAAGCTCCATTTAATGCTCAAGGTAGGTGATGGGATCCATGGAATGTTCATGTCAACCATGAACAGCTGAACATGTACACAGTGGCATAACTGAAGTCCTTTTCTGAGGTTCAGAAAAAGACCAGCAGGCGCATGATATCTGTCCTATGGTCCCCTGTGGTTGTGTCTCTATGTGTGGGCGATGACCGTTAAGAAGAGACAGTTGGCTGCAGTTGAAGGTTCCTGAAATATCTCAGTTTCTCATCATATAGGAATGGTTCCAAGAGACGATGCTCCTTTGACAGTAGAGAGGCGTAGCGTGGCCGTTTTGGATTCAATTTCAGATTAAACCCGTTTTTGACACTGGAAGAGAGAGAGAGAAGAAAACCAACTACCACCTGCTCTTTTCCAACCAGAACTAGCACCATCAGGAGGAAAAGAGATGCAGGGAGTCCCTGTCCATCATCTTGCCTGGGACCAAACATCTATTTCACTTCTCCTTTTATAACTGTTAGAGCAGGACGACAATGGAACCAATCACCTTGGAAGGCGGTGAGGGCTCCAACACCAGAAATGCTCAAGAGAAAAATTGGACAAACCCTCTGCCAGATCTACTTTGGCTTGAGCAGGGGGTTGGGTTTGATCATCTTTCAAGGCCCCTTCCAACTCCATTAGATTATGATTCTCTCTCCCACCCCAGCTTGTTCTTGTGACCAGAACTTGGGAGCCCTTTGTTGCTGCAATGACCTTTCCCAATAACAAAAAAACACAACAAGAGAGAAACTCACTACTTTAGACCATTACTGCAACTTTGGGTTATTTTTAATTATTATAGGATAAGGCCTCATGCAATCGTGGAACAAGAAAGTGCTCTTGTTAAAGGACCTTTCCCTGCGTTGCGGGCATAGAGATGGCAACGAGGGGGGTGGTGGAAAGAGTGTGAAGTGGGCTAACTAGCAGCTTTTCAGTTTCTGGTCCTTCAGACCTAAACTGTAACTAGATGTTAGGTTCCTTTTCAGAAATGGGAAAGCGAAGACTAACTTTTTCTGAAAGGTTCGCTAGAATAGCCACTGCCCTCTAACTTGCCATCTTCAGACCACAGCGGTAATCAATTCTTTTTTTAGAAGTCGCATTTCACGTTCTTCTTATGACGTGGCCGTTTTCCCTGCATGCTTTCTCTCTTTACTTTGTACTTTTAAAAACGGGTTTCAGCACCTCAGCAGAAAGCCAGGATTATAACCGGAATGGAAGCCATCAACGAATCCGTGTATCAAGTTGCCCTCTGCTTGCCCCTCTGGTGCCCTTGAGCCTTCCTCATTGGCTATATGCCAACTTTGTTCCTGCTGTGAGAACCAGCTGTGGTATTACTTGAGGCCGTTTGCTCCATCAGCATGCATAACTGGAGGCGGGCGGGTTGCTTTCCCGCAAAAGCTTGGGAAAGAACTAAATAGAAACGTAAGAGGCATATGCATGCATGAAGGCCAAGGATCACCCAACACGTGCACAAGTAAACAGATACAGTCATGCCCCGCTGGGCGATTACTCCACTCTACGACTAATCCGCATTACGTCGACATTTTTGTGATCGCTTCTGCAATCGCAAAACGAAGTTTTGAATGGGGAAATTTCGCTTCACGTTGATCGGTTCCCTGTTTCGGGAACCGATTTTTCGCTTTACAGCGATCAGCAAACAGCTGATCGCTGGGTTTCAAAATGGCCGCCAGCTTTCAAAATGGCCCCCTCCTGTTTTCTATGATGGATTCCTCACTATACAGGCACCGAAAATGGCCGCTGTATGGAGGATCTTTACTGCACGAGCATTGGAACACATTAACTGGGTTTTAATGTGTTTCAATGGGTTTTTTTAAATTCGTTTGATGATGTTTTTGCTCTACAGTGATTTCGCTGGAACGAATTAACATCGTCAAGCGAAGCACCACTGTATGTACACACAAGACTGGCACAATCCGAGTCATGTGTGAACCGGGGGGGGGGAGCAGTGGGTGACTATGTGTTTGGGAAGAAAGTGAGCCACCCATCAGATCCAGATTTAATTCTGGATTTCAGAGGAGCTGCCCATGGTGCTGAAATTCTTTGTAAGGCTTGAAATAAAACCTAGCCATGATTTCATGCCCCCTGCACATATCGGCTGCCTTTGGTCTTGAGAAGACGAGCCCCCAACAGAATCTAGAGTGACTGCCTCCACTTCTGGCAGTCAAAATACTACAGATGCAAGGAAACAGACAGTTCTATCTTCTGTCTCTTTAGCATTAAGTGTAGCTTCAGCCTCCGGCACCAGATTCAAAGATGAAATTTCATCAGCCTAGTTTTGATCTGCTGGATAGCTCAGTGGTTTAGGTCTCTGGCTGTGGAGCCAGAGGTTGGGAGTTGGATTCCCTGATGAGCATCCTTTACAGCAGTGGTTCCCCAACCTTGGGCCTCCAGATGTTCTTGGACCTCAACTCCCAGAAATCCTGGCCAGCAGAGGTGGTGCTGAAGGCTTCTGGGAGTTGTAGTCCAATAACATCTGGAGGTTGGGAACCACTGCTTTACAGGGCTTAGACTCAATAATCCATAGGGCCCCTTCCAGCTCTGCAGTTGTTAGATGGTGGTGGTGGTGGGAATCCATGATCCTTTAGATGAGGCTGTACTACAGCTACCATCATTCCTCACAGTTGCCCCAACTTGCTAGAAATTGTATTCCAACAACATCTGGAAGATCACACACAATATAGTTCTTTTAGCTCTTGTAAGACACAGAGAATTTTCTTCTAGAGAAGCAACATAGGTGTAAAAATGTTCCACCAGGAAGTCGTATCACTGGCCCTTTAAAAACAAAGAAATGTAAAGTGTATCCACTTGAAAATCAGCTTTGGAAGTAGACCTCTTCTTCCCCAATCGTGATTACAATTAATCTTTTATTGCTTGGCAGACTTCAGGTCCTCTTCACTGAGTACCTAATAATCTCTTGCTCTGTATCTGGCAATTCACAAAGATCCCAATTACTTTGGGGAGATATCGAATTAGGTACCAGAAAATGACTGAAAACATTCAGTCCGAGAAACATGATTTCACTGGGGAACAGTGAAATTCCGTCTGAAAGGCTCTGCTTTTAAATGCAGGCAAAATGCAATTAGCAAAATAAAACACACGCACACAACATCACACCCAGCTTGCCAACGTTATTGTTTTACAGACTCTCTGTTCCATGCATTTGCAAGTGACATTTCTTAGGAGAGGAAGATCAGAGATAATCTTTTCCTCTGTTCCCTGCTGCAGAAATTTCCAGAGTGGGCAGGGAGCCCTATTAAGCTTGCTTTAGGAAAACCAGAAATCTTGTGCAGCTTTTAAAGAGGATTAGGTTTGAACCTTTCCTTTCGTGGACAACACCTACTTTACCGTCTCCCAAACTGCATCTAATGAAGTGGGCTGTGGGTCTATAAAAGCGGAGCCAGAGGCTGGGAATTCGATTCCCCCACTGGGCCTCTTTGACAGGGCTGGACTTGATGATCTATAGGGTCCCTTCCAGCTCTGCATTTCTGAGACTATTATCACAAGAGGAAATGGTGTAAAGGAAAAAATAAAGAGTTGTTCACACACAGATGAGATTTAAAAGACATTCTGATTATAAACCATGTTGATGAGAACACACTCAGGAATGGGTGTAAATTATAACCATCAACCAGGATTGTTCAAGCACTTTCCAGGGCTATGTTCTCCCTCCTGTACATGCGCGTATTCAAACCAAATGGCCTAGGTTCCCCTTGACAATTTGTCCAGTCGTGTCCGATTCTAGAGCACAGTGCTCACCCCCGTTTCCAAGGTGCAGAGCCAGCGTTTGTCCGTAGACAGTTTCCGTGGTCACGTGGCCAGCGCGACTAGACACGGAACGCCGTGACCTTCCCACCAAGGTGGTACCTATTTATCTACTCGCATTTGCATGCTTTCAAACTGCTAGGTTGGCAGGAGCAGGGACAAGCGACGGGAGCTCACTCCGTCACGTAGATTCGATCTTACAACTGCTTGGTCTTCTAACCTTGCAGCACAGAGGCTTCTGCGGTTTAACCTGCAGCACTACCACGTCCCAATGGCCTAGGACGGTAGAAAAACATGGCTTTCGGAAAGGTCTACATTTCATGAGCAAGGAAGACGGTGGTTATAGCAGACCTTGGAGGTCTACCAGTCCCATCCGGGATGGACCCAAAAGGGGATAATGGGAGTATGAGCAGTACATTAGCCTCTGGGAGGTCATAGGTCTTCCATCTTTGGGGTAAAGGCTGATTTTAAGCCAAGGGACACAACCTGAGAACCAGGGTGGCACAGGCTGTAGAGGAGAGGGAAATCCTTCTCTTATTCTTCCAGATGTACCTCAGAGGGTTGTAGCACAGATAAGGAGGAGCAGGAGAGCCATAAAGGAAAAATGGGATGCAAATATGTAAATAAAAAGGAAGTTTGGAGAAGCTTTGCTCAGTAACCCGTTTCCAAAGTTTCCTGAGAAACTTCCAGAGACCTTGAAAGCAGTTGAGACACTTCATTGTATGGCATGGAGAAAGGTCCACTGATCCTGAAGGGCTACCAGATGTACATCCTCTGCGAGAGGCAGAGTCTTCTCAGGGAAAGGTCCGCCCACATTCTCAGGCCTCATCTTACAGCCCGCACTCAAGTGCAATAAAATGCCAGGTTCCTGCAGCCGAGACACCATGGCTGTCTCTCAAAGCAAATGCTGTCTGATCACCTGATGTTAAATTCAGCATGGACCACGTGCAGCACACGCGCACGCGCGCGCGCACACACACACACACACACAGAGTACTCTTGGGTCACCAATATCCTCTCAGAAGTGTATATGCATTTTGAACAAAAATTAATTTGGCTCAAAAAAGTACAGTGGTGCCTCGCATAGCGACGTTAATCGGTGCAGCAAAAATCGCTGCAAAGCAATTTTGTTGCTATGTGATTTTAAAAAGTCCATAGGAATGCATTAAAAGGCATTTAATGAGTTCCTGTGGGCTTAAAACTCACCTTAAAGCAAAAATCCTCCATACGGCGGCCATTTTCACTGCCCGGTAAGTGAAAACACAGCGGGCGGCCATTTTGCAACTGCCGATAAGCTGTTAGAAAATCATCACTTTGCAATAATCGATAAGCGAAACAGGGTACTGATCATCGCAAAGCGATTTTTCCCCATTTAAAACATCGCAATGTGATTGCAAAACATCATCGCTATGTGGTTTCGTCATTAAACGGGGTACCCGTTAAGCGAGGCACCACTGTACTCTTGTGCTCTCGTCAAGGAGGGGAGGGAGATGCCCCCAAGCACCTCCCATACACATCAAAAAGTTTTCTAATTTGTTGTTGTTGTTGCTTGTAGCACTATGGGGCGGTATATAAGTCCAATGAATAAATAAATAAAATAAATAAAAATGGCCACTAAAAAGCCAAAGGAGGCTTTTTCCCCCCTACATTTTTCTTAGAAGAAATATGGAGATTGCAGGATGAACTGAGGAATGGGGCTATTCTGCAGCAATGTGCCCAGTGAAAACATTAATTTTTTGTTTCATTTTTGAGTCCTTGGGGTGGTGGTTTTTTAATTGTTCTTGTACATAGGTCCCTTAATTTAACACAGAAGGCACTGTCACTTTCAGGTGTTCCAATTCGGAATTTCCCCCATTTATGTTTTCTGTTGCTTTTCCAAAAAAGCCCTAACAAATCTTGATTTAAAAAAAGCAGAGGTAAGGCAACACAGCATCAATCTACTCCACAAGCAGGAAACAATACACTCAACCACCACCACCACCAAACAGAACAGCCCCCCTCCCTCCCACCCCCATGAAAATATATACTCATAACAGAATGAATGCACTGTCAATTAACCAATTTTTAAAAATCAAACAGCAACAGCAGCACACATGGCCCCCTCTCTCAAGGGGCGTGAGGACAAGAAAAGCAAGTGAGCAAATAAAGGTGAAAAATACAATCAAAGCATAGACACCCCAAACCGAGATGACTAGAAAATGGTAAGATTTCTCTCCTGCTTACCTCTTGGCTCTTCCCTTCTCTTCTGTTCTTTGAGTCCAGCAACAGGCAGGCAGCAAAAATAATCCAGGAAAAGAAAGGACCAAAGGGGTGTGTGTGTTGAATCCCCAAAGATATCAGGAGGTATTTTTTTAAAAAAAATCCATGCTGGCACAGTTAGGCAACCCAAGATTGAGGGTATCAGGAGCTCACTCACCGCAAGAAAGAAGCGAAACAAGGAAAAACCAAGCACATCCTCTGCTTTCCAACCAATTCAAACCCTTTTACAGCACCCCCTCCTCCTAGAACTGTTCTAACTGGATCCTAACAGTAGCCCTCGTGATGCTGCCAGATGAAAAATTTCCTGGGCTATTTGACACACAAGGGGTGAAGGAAAGGTTGAACAAAAAAAGAGAGTCTCATTTGTTACCCCTCGCCTTTGATGAAACACAAAATTCCCATCTCCACCCTTTAAACAAACCCACAAGAGAACTAGGATTTTTTTTTTCCAAGTAAAGATGAGTACATAAAATCTGGGAACGTACTATTTAGGAACAAATTTGCAGGAACTCAACTAGCATCATAACAGGAGAGGCAGGAAACCTCTATCAGACAAACGTTTCACCCAACCGCTATCGCAATCCATTACAGTTGGCCTTCCTGGCTGGGGTTTTAGAGGGCCGAAGGTTGGCTGCCTTCTTACACAACTGCCAGATAGCTCAGTGGTTTAGGGATTTGGCTGTGGAAATAGAAATTGGGAGTTCAATTCCCCACTGTTCATCCTGGGCAGGGGCTGAGCTAGATGATCCACAGGGTCCCGTCGAGCCCCTGCAGTTCTAAGATGATGATTTTTATTATTCTTATTCTTATAAACACAGTGGATACAATATGATCCACCGCTACGTGTCTACACCCTCTCTGAACTAATTATTCAAATGTTAATTATCCAGCAAGCATATGATGTTCCAGACCTTGTTTGAAGAAGCACAAATGGCTAACAAATTAATTTATTGCACCAGGCTCTCGGGCTGTACGGTTTCTTGTTCGCAGGTTGATTTAATATCAGCTGTCCAAAGAGAAACGCAGAACTGAATTACGACAAGGATACAGAGATGCAGGACTCAGAACAACTCTGAGCAGCCTACCATCCCTCTATTTGTTCTGGATGCTTTTCCTGTTCCCTTTTTGGCCACTGCTGCTGGAAGTCCATTACAGGGAAATAAGCACCATTAAAGCATTTTAGAAAATATTTATTTTGTCCAAAAAAGGTTCACTCTGTACAAATTTGAACTGCGACATTCTCGACACAGTGAGGTTTATAAAAATGGCTAACGCGGACCCAAATAAAAGCGATTCCTTTTTTTTTTCCTTTTTCCTTTCTTAAATTACAAAGGTAAACACTACAAAACGGTTTCTCAACAAGCTGCTTAATGATATATATTTAAATGTGTCAAATCTCAAAAAGAAAACAAAAATGAGGGGGAACACCACCAATTTATCATATATACTCTTTGATTCGCGCTGCGTTGGTTCCACCCGAATACCTTCTCTTAATGGAAGTTAAATTTGCTTTTATGGTTTTCCTTTTATGTATGAGTCACTCAACAAGACTGCGGCAACAGGTCCATTCTGAACTGTACAATGTTCTGGCAGGATAAAACTAGCACAATTCCAATTTTTTTTTCTTCTTCTTCACCTAACAACCTAAAAAAATGGAGGGAGGCAGGGGATGATTTTTCTATACATGTCATTAAAAAAATTCTGTACAAACTTCACTTTCATTGATGTCTATTTTTGACTGAGTCAAAAGGGTACTTAAGCATATTTTGTACCAATATGAAGAAAACACTTAAAAAAAAAAGAGTTCACATAGTAAGATCCAGAAAGCAGGGATACAACTTTCTTTACAATGTTTTTTTAAAGGGATTACATATAGGAAATGGGAAAATCTGAATCTCTTTAAAGTTATCTTTGTTCGCACTTGCAGGCGCCACTTTTTTTCCTTGAATGGGATCACTGCTGAATAAGCATGCAAAATGACTCAAGAGGGTTTTGCTGAGAACGGCAGCACTTCTGTAAACAGGATCACACCAAAAAACAGTCAAGAAAGTGGGGATCGAGACAGATGAACTGTCAAGGAGGCAAGGAGCAAACTTGAAAAAAGATCAACAACAAAAAAACAACAACAACAAAACCCCAACCATTCTTCTTCCATATTTGCTGTCTTCTTGACTACAGCGCTAGAGCGTCACAGCGCTACATCAGAGCCACGGGTGCCAGGCGGGATCCATGCGGCAGAGGTTGTCAAGGGAATTTGCCGCGGCGACCAGGGTGTTGACTTTGCTCTCTCCTCCTTCAAACTGTGCCAGGTTATGCAGGCGAGTCATGATGGCGGTAACAGCTTTCTGAACCAGCGAAACCAGCTGCTGGCTGTCCATGTTCTCAGGCTGCCCAGCTGCCGAAAGCGGGGAGGACGTGTCCTCCTGGGTTTTCTTGTGCCAAGCAATTATTTCATCGCGTAGCACCGTCTTCAGGATCCCGTCAACCTGCAGGTTGGAGAGGAGAGGAAGGGAGTGGGGGAGGGGAAAAAAGAGAGAGAGAGATAATTATGTTTAACTAGAAGGAACTGTCAAGGGGATTATGGATTTAACAAAATGGGAATGAAAGTACACCGTGGCACTTTGACCCTTCTGCATAAATCGGGGGGGGGGGTATATTGGCAAGTTCAAACCACTGCAGAGAGCTGTGTTTACTTAAAACCATTTCAAAAACCCTTTGCAATGTTTTTTTTAATTATTGTTATTGTTGGAGTAATAGGCAACTCCAAAGTATCATTGCATCATCATCCATGCCATTGTTATTCTTTATTTACAAAAACCCTTTGCAATGTTTTTTTTAATTATTGTTATTGTTGGAGTAATAGGCAACTACAAAGTATCATTGCATCATCATCATCCATGCCATTGTTATTCTTTATTTATTTTGAATATTTTGCCCCACCCCTTCTCCTAAGAAAGGATGTTCTACATAATTAAAAACACAATATGAAAAGTTAAAAACAATATTCAAATATTATTCAAATATTTAAGAAGTTTTAAAAGTTAGGTAAAAGCAATACTAAAAACCAGATTTAGAAGCCAACAAATATAAAACCTCCTGTTTATCGTCTCCTAGATAACCACTCAGGGGAAAGCTTGCCTGAAGAGAAAGGTCTTTGCCTTCTTGCAGAAGGACAGTAACAATGGGGCCAGGCTGGCCTCCAGTGGGAGGGAGTTCCAAAGTCTGGGACCAACGACAGAGAAGCCCTCTCCTGTGTCCCCATCAATCATATAAAATTATTACCATCATTATTTCATTGGGCTAACCGGCAACTATGAAGTATGTTCCTCATCACTTAGAAGTATTATTTCCCTTTGGGAGAATTAAAAAAATTAGTGCAAATTTTTTATATATATACCCGTGTATTCCCCTTAAAAAGGAGATTTCTCCTTAAAAATGAGATTTATGATTGTTTACAAGTGGTAAGAGTTTAATTTAAAGGTTCTTTTTTAAAAAAAGCAGGTGGGTGAACAGTGTAGAATAGCTTTCCCACATACAGTAAACACTAAGACAGGTTTCTGGAACTTTTGTCCAAAAAAACTGGTAACATTTGGAAGCTCTGCACTGCATAAATGATACATCTGTAAAATGTCACTGGGTCTCTTCATGCCTTCAGGATCTCCCCGTCTTGTTCCGCTACACCCAACCCACTCCTTAGCCCTTTCATTTCATATGTCCGTAAGTTTATGTGTGCAAAGACGGATGTTTGTGTCCCATCAACACGGACACCATGTTGCAAAGTATTCTCCAAGGTGGTATCTTTCAGATGTTTTAGACAGCAAATATTCCCATCCCCATCTCCTGGGAACCCTGTCTGGAGCTGATGGGAGCTGTAGTTCAAAACATCTGGAAAAGCTGCCCTCCAGACAGCTGTCAATGTATAGTCTCAGAATTCCAGAGCACCCAGGTGTTTGGGGAGGGGGTCAAAACATCTGGAGGATCAAAGGCTGAAAGCCGGGGCTTAGAGAACTTAGGCTGCCTCTTCAGAAGGTGCTGGATTCCAATTCCCATAATCCCCTGCTTGACAGGCCATGGGTGAGGGATGAGAAGAGCAGTGGCTCCTCTTAATTAGGCAAGGAACAAGTTCTTCGGACCTGGCTGGCAGAAGAACAATCAAAATACAACCTCTTCAGATGTTGGCAGATGATTAACTCCCGTCCTCCCTAGAAAGTACAGTCAATGTCAAGGAATGCTGGGATTTGAAGTCCAATAGTATTTAGAAGGTCACAGGGGCCTCTAAGGCCATGGTGTCCATCCGCCTGCTCAAGGCAGGAAAGCAAATCTGACAGAGGATTGTCCAATTTTTTCTTGAATGCCTTGAGAAAGGCTGGACGAACCACATGCATAAGTGTTTTTATCAACAGCATTATTATGGAGGCTTTGCACTCAGTTGGGGGAGCGGTATCCAAGGCTTATATATTTTAATCCTCTCCTCTCCCTTCCCCCTTTACTTCTGCTTCCATTTAAAAAGTTAAGGAAGGATTTATCAAAACTGCAAAGGCACAGTCTTAAGATGCCTAATTATGAAACTCACACAACGCACCGTGTGCTGGGCTTTTCATGCAGGAGGCGGCGACTGCCAGCCGCCACCCAGCTGAGCGACGTTTCCTCCTGGGGAAATCTCACAATTTAAAAGAAAAATCAGCCCAGTTCTTTGAGGGAAGTGCCCCCTGCCAAGAGCGGGAGTCCATCAAAGCTCCCGCTGTATCTCTTGGCTTCCTAACAAGCTGCCAAGATAGATTCCTCTTTGCGGCATTCTTCCGAGAGAACTCAGTAAGGCTGCATTTGTCATTCGCATTCCCCCTCCCTTGGCTGCAAAACCCGGCATTCGCTGGAACCGAACGACAACCACCGAGGCATGTTGATTCCAACCCAACGGGCTGTCGGACTGCAATTCTGCCTGAGAAGCCGGGCTGAAAAGGCCTCCGCTGGACAGTTTATAGATCGGCCGTTTGGACAACGGAAGTTAAATCGTTCCCTGATGGTCTGGAAAATTCTTTCGGGAGAGGGTAGAAAGAGAGAAGCCTTGGGTCTCGAGGGGCTTCCACTTGGTATAGAATCCACTGCACTGATTTCTGTGATGGTGGCAGGCGAGAGGCACTTGTCTGTGGCCCGTGGACTGAGCAAGGGGGAAACACCACCTCCGAATTTAGCAGAACATCCCCACTTCCTCTGGTCACCAAGTACTCCAGTCTGCACCATCATGGTTGGAGCACTGGAGACCTGGGTTCAAATCCCGAATGGATCATCAAACTTGCTAGACGAGCTTGGGGTCAGCATTCTTAGCCTGACCTACTTCACAGGGTTGCTGTGACGCAAAAATGGGAGAGGAGCATCAAGCACCTCTGCCTTCGGCCCACTGGAGAAAAAGGCAGGATATAAAGACAACTGATAAAGAAGTACCGTATTTTTCCATGCATAAGACTATACTTTTGTCTAAAATCTTTAGACTAAAATTGAGAGTCATACACGGAAGCTGAGGCGAGAACAAACACAAGTGGAGGGGAAAGCAGGGATCAAAGCGATCCTGCAGGGCTTTGATCCCTTTCCCCCTACACTTGCTAAGCCCCACTTAGATTTGTTAACCCCACTGTATAAGTATCGAGCAGCACAGTATGGATTTCTTCAACCGTCTGGTCTGTCAGCAGGCTTGAGAGAAGAGGATGGCAACTGGTGGCTTTCCAGATGAATATTCAAGTATTTCTTCAGCCGTCTGGTCTGTCAGCAGGCTCGAGAGAAGAGGATGGCAACTGGTGGCTCTCCAGATGAATATTCAAGTCTACTTTATTAATGGCTCAATATGGGGGGGGGGAATCAGCAGAAACAGCAAGAAGAAGAGAAAGAAGAAGAAAAAGAAGGAGAAGAAAGAGAATAGGAAGAAGGTTTAATGGAATTATTTTGCACTGAAGCCGTCTGGTCTGTCAGCAGGCTCGAGAGAAGAGGATGGCAACTGGTGGCTCTCCAGATGAATATTCAAGTCTACTTTATTAATGGCTCAATATGGGGGGGGGGAATCAGCAGAAACAGCAAGAAGAAGAGAAAGAAGAAGAAAAAGAAGGAGAAGAAAGAGAATAGGAAGAAGGTTTAATGGAATTATTTTGCACTGAAGCATCCGCCAGAAGCTTACCTTAAAGTTTGGTTGGGCAAAACAGCGTGCGACAGCAATCATTGAGGCGGTGAGCGGACCAGAGACCCCAATGGTGGTCAGGAACTCGGAAATGTTTGGCGTGAGTCGGAACGGGACAGGGCGATTGGCGTCGAGATCTCCTGTGGCATCGTTGATATCAAACCGGAAATACGCCACGTTTAGTTTGCCAGTATCCTAATTGTTTTAAAGAAAAAAATATATATATCTATATATCTCTATATATGCAATTCTGAGTGGGTGTACAACTTTATACAAAAGTCAAAGCCTCCCCTTAATGTTTTTCCTTGGGCTCAATGCATTAAACTGGAATAGAATGTAAAGCAGCTTCCAGAAGCAGTTCAGCTTCACTGGCCTCCAGCTCAGGCAATACCTCTTAAGAGCAACAAATGATTGACAAGAAGGTACCCGGCAAGGTATCAATCTTGAATAATGGACTTTGCGTTGGTGCGAGTAGAGATCAGGGGCAGAGAAAAATAGATCCACTTGAATGTCAACTCTGAACGTACCCAAGGATGTCTGTGTGTGCTTCGAATAAGGGGTTGGAGGGTAAATGTAACATTTAGATCTCACATCTCCACCTTAGGTCCTTGCTAATGTAAGACTGTACATTTCAGAACCATTTGCATTCAAATCTATTGTGAGGTTTATGCTCTGACAGTGCAAGGCGATGTGAGATAACTAATCCATTTTATGAAGGGTGGGTCATTCATATTACATTTGGAATCACCGCTTTCTAATGAATAAATATGGATGAGAGCTTAGAACGGCCTTGCTACAGATGCTGTGGAATCTAATTTCCATCAGCCCCGGCCAGCATGGTCAGGAGTTCTGGGAGTTGTAGTCCAAGACACATCTGGATGATGCATTGAAACCAGTGAAAACCAAGTCTGAATGCCAAATCGCCAGGAGATGGGTGTCATTCCCTATCTCTCTGCTTGGTGTACCTCCCAGGATTTTGGTGAGAATAAAACTGGCAGGGGTGGACTTGAGGAGAACCTTGAAATCCACCCTCGGGAAACCCAAAACAGTCATCGTATAGCGGTTTCGTCGTTTAACGAGGCAATCGTTAAGCGAGGCACCACTGTATATTATTTGCCAGCTATCACCATGCAGGCCAACACGGGTGAAAAAGCAGAATGTATTCTTTGTAACAGCTAAATTTGTGCGGGGTTTTCTGATTACGAGGACCCGCTCAATGTGATTTCAGTCCGGTGGGGTCACCCAGGGTTGACCCATGCGACAGTGCGACCCAGCCCCAACCCTGCGCACCTGGGCGATCTGCAGCATCTCCGGGTTCAGCCTGTTCAGATGGAAGACAAACTCTGCAAAGCCGATCAGGGCCAGCTGGATGGTGAACATCTTCCGAAATGTCCAATAATCCGTGGCGTTGGGGAAGGTGTGCAGCGCCCACTCCTTCAGCATGCTCCGGGGCACCATATTGCTTTGCACCTCTTTCAGGATATCACGGAGAACCTGGAAGGAAAAGGGAGAAGAGCTATGAGGAAAGGGGGGATTTCTCTCGGGTAGAAACAGGGAACCTCGTGTGTGTGTGTG